AATGGTTAGTAAAGTTACATAGGTTTCAAGTGTACAATTATGTAATACATCATCTATATATCACATTGTGTGTTCACCACCCAGTCAGTTCTCTTTCCATCACTATATATTTGACCCCTTTTACAAAACAAGGAGGAAAAAAAGAAAAGAAAAGAAAGAATAGATTCTGCCAGCACTTGTCTGGGAGAAAGCTGCCCCTCCAGCCCTCACTCTGAAGCCAGACTATTCAGCTCCTCCCTGTATGTCCCTGGAGACTTCTGAGCTGCTGCCCGAGTGCACTGGCTCAGAGCGAGTGAGTCTGTCAGCAAGTGAGTCTGTGCGTGGGCCCTTTAAGAGGAATGCCTGGAACTTCATGTGCCCTCCATCTCACTCAGCCACAATCTCTGCTGGTTTTCACAGCCTGAAGTTGTGGGGCCTTCTCATCCCAGCACTGGAACCCTGGGCTGGGGAGTCTGGCTGGGACCCCTTTCTCCTCAGGGTGGACATCCACAACTGAGGTATCCCTCTCAATTTTTAACCACCACACACAGGCATGGGATCTGCCTGTTCTGTGTCTCTGCCCCTCCTACCAGTCTCGAGGTGGCTCCTTCTATATGTTCTTAGTTGTAGGACTTCTGTTCAGCTAGACTTCAGGTGATTCTCGATGATGGTTGTTCTATAGTTTAGTTGTAATTTTAATGTGTTTGTGAGAGGAGGCAAGCACAGCGTTTACTTACTCTGCCATCTTGACCCTGGCTACATTTTTTTAAGAAGGAAAATTAGGAGACACATAGCTTCTATGTTAACACATGTTTTATATCTACAGTGATTAAACCATTTTTGTTTTAACTCAAGAATAGAATATCAGATCAACAGAGCAGAGTTAGATCTAATTCCCAAAGAGACCCAATTATATTTAAGAACATAAAATATGGTAAAGGAGACATCGCAAGTAAGTCACAGATGGGAAATGTTATTTAATAAATGGTCTGAAGCAGTTGGTTTGCGTTTAAGAAAAAGATCAATTTTAACCTTCATTTCATGTCTTATACTAAAATAAATTTCAGGTGCTTTAATCAGCTTTAAATGTACAAAATAAAAGAAAAGCAAAAAACTAGAAGTAAATAGAGGGGACATTTATAAACAATCTCTGGAAGAATATGTAAGCTTAAAACAATGATAACTACAAAAGAAAATATATTTGATTACATAAAATTGAAAACTTCCTGATATTAAAAAAAGCTACTTAAAATACAATTAAGTGAAAACAACAAATAGTTGCTCAAAATATGACAGAGAAAGGATAACATTCTCAGCCTACAACAAGAGTATACAAATAGATAACAAAGACACCAAAAATCCTTTAGGTAGCAGAAAATTCACAAAAGAGGAAATGCTAATGGCTAATAAACATGTTAGAGTGTTAAAAACATTTTTAGTTCTATTTTTATCTAAGTAGTAGCAATTTTAGAATATTCATGTTGGCTAGAATTTAATAAAATAGGCTTTTTTTATACATTGATAGAGAGGACATAAATTGGCACAAACTATTTAGAAAAATTACTGGTAATATGCAACCAGGACTTTAGAAGTATTAGTATCTTTTATATCAATAATTCCATTTCTAGAAAACCATTTAAAGAAAATAATCATGAAAACCACAAAATTATAAGGATAGTTTCATTGTTTTTATAATAATAAGAACTGGTGTCTTAAAAATGTAATGTTCATGGACTAATTAGATAAAATCTTACATAGCTGTCCAATGGAATATTACGTATCCACTAAACTTATGTTTTCAAAGAATGTTCATGTGATAATGTTAAGTTAAAAATGAGAACTACAAAACAGCATCAGTAGTACTATTCCAATTTAATGTGTTTTAATGTATACAAGGGAAATGACTCAAAGGCAAAATAATCAAAATATTAAGAGGAATAATCACTATTTGGTAGAGTTATAGACAATTTAAATTTCCTTCTTGATATGGTTCCATAGGTTTTATTTATCTACAGTAAGCATATTGCTTTATAATCAGAATAATAAACACCAAAAAAAAGCCCTTTTTTAGTATATCTTTCTGAATTTAAAATTCAAATATACAAATCAGTAAAAATATATAATATTTGAAAACTATCATCAAGTTTCATTACGTAGATATACAAATAGATCTAGAATATTGGATGAAATACATTTTTCTCATATCTACAGAACATTCAAATACATTAATATCTTGACCATGAAGAAAATCTTACTAAATTTAAAAAGTAAAAATATTTTCTGAATATAAGCCAATAAAATAAAACTTAGCAGCAAAAAGATAGCCATAATATAACTGCTTATAAATTGAGAATTTTTTCTAAATAATTCCTAGTGTAAAGAGGAAATCAATATATAAATAATGTATTTTTATAATGCAGTAATCGCCCCTTATCTTGGGGAATACGTTCCAAGACCCCCAGTGGATGCCTGAAACCACAGATAGTACTGAACCTTGTGTATACTATGATTTTTCCTATACATACCTATGATAAAATGTAATTTATAAATTAGGCACAGTAGGAGATTAACAACAACAATAATAAAATAGAACAATTATAACAGTGTAGTGTAATAAAAGTTATGTGATCTCCCTCTGTCTCTCAAAATAGCTTATTGTACTGTACTCACCCTTGTGATGATATGAGATGATACATGATGAAATGAAATGAGGCGAATGACATCGATGAAGCACACTCACTCACCTTTTATGTGTCTCCACAAAAAGTATCTATAGTGTGTCATATAGAAACTGATTTTGAATAAATTCGACAGCCAGACTTATCAGATTGGGAGATGCCTTTCACACATATTCATTTAATCAATATTTATTGATTACCTACTATGCCAAGGCACTGTGCCAGGTGTCCTGGGGATATAGGAATGAATAAGATGCAGCCTTGAGAAGCTTGCAATATGGGAAACAGTTACCAATGTTAGAAATAAAATCTTTAAAATTTTGTTTATTTCTCTCGTAGCCAATTTCCATCTATTTGGCCACTGACTGACCAGAGCCTTGCAAATTTTCAGCTATGGCACCATTGAAAGAAAAGTAATTTGAATCAAGTTTATCTTCAAAATTTATCAGTGTCAGAACTTGCTCCAGTTTTCTTTTCATGAATAGTTAAAAAAAAGAAATCAACTTAAGAGTTATAAGATAAAAATTATGATAATTGCGTTGGATCACAGTTATGATTATCACTTTTAAAGAGATAAATATGCTGAATTGATTGGCAAAATACTAATGTTAAATATAATTCTGTGATGATGTTTGCATTATACAATCTGATTTTACCAAAATAATTATTCACTTAAAGAATTTCTTTTTATTATACTTAATATATTTCTTCTCTTTTATAGGAATTTATTTTATCAGAAGATTATAACAAGATGACTCCTGTGAAAAACTATCAAGGTAGGAATGAGAGCAGTGTTTTCATTTACCTAGACTTTGAAATGTTTCTTAATGGCTTCCACTGCCACAAAGAGGGGCCTTACTTTACACAATAGTCAGGGAACAAAACAGAGCAACTCTTTGAGGTGAATATTATCCTGGTTTTAGAAGGAAGTTGCTGAGGCCCCAACAGGTTAGGTGACTTGTCTGTGGTTCTGTTGCTGGTAAAGTTGCAGAGCCAGACCAGGTCAGCATGACTGCAGAGCCCACAGTCTTTGTCCTTTGGCTTCCTGCTATGCTGCACTGCCTCGAAACAGTGCAGCAGGCGTGGAGAGTGGGGCCAGCGTTAGGAGTGAGCTGCCGTACACGGGCTCATTTCATTTTTGGGTAAATGTTTTAGAAGGCACAGAGTGTTTGTATTGTGTAAGGCAGAGCATTATGGCTTATATTGTACCTTCAGCCTTGACAGTGTACCATAGGCTATTTTCATTGAATGGATCAAGAGTAATTATTGTTAAGGATTTCTTTATCGAGACCAACAATGTCATGGGATCAAAACATTAGAGGTGGACCTTTTAACAGTTAGAGGTCATTTCATCTAAACCTCTTGACCTCATTTATCCTTCATGGTCATCCAGCGTCTCCTCTAAGACTTGCAGAGACATAGCAACCCATCCTGACTTGGGAAAATGCTAAGTATTAAGTTCTTTATTTTTAGGTTTTGAAGAAAAATTCATTTCCCTGTAGGTTTACTCTTTAACATTTTCACATATCACTTATCAGGTATTTATACTTGTACTTATATTTATTGAATACCAGTTATTGTTCCAATAACTGAGGATTATAATAATAATGAACAAGACGTGTATAGCATCTGCCTATAGGTAGTTTATAATCATGTGGAAGATACAGACAGGTAAACAGACCATTAAAATGTTACGTGATAAGTGCTAGAAAGTTCTCCTGTTGGTCTTTCGTCAGCCTGTTGGAGCTAAGTACACATTCTCTTACTCATGACAGCTTTTTAGTGATTTTAAAACAGCCATGAAAATTCCCACCCCTGTCCATTCCTCTCCTCCTTTGTTTCCTTCTCTTTTCTAGCCTAAGCATTTTATCTTCTCCCTCATATGACCAGAGTTTTTGGTTGTTTAAAAATATTTTTTTTAATTGTCTGGGTCACAATTCTTGGGATATCATGTTGTACTATTGGGGCCATTTAAAAACGTGACATTGTGGTAGGCAGCCTCTAATAGGGCTCATAGCGATCCTTGCCTTGTGGTATTCACATCCCTCCCCTTGAATGTAGGCTGGACCTAAAATATGGCAAGCAGTTGATATAACTTTTGAGATTAGATTACAAAAAGTCTAGGGCTTCTGTCTTGCTTGCACTCTCCTGCTCTCTTGCTTGTTCTGATGGAAGCCCACTGCCATGTTGTAAGCTGCCCATGTGGTAAAGAACTGAGAGAAGCCTTGTCAACAGTCAGTAAGCAACTGAAGCCCTCAGTTCAGCAGCCGATGTCAGCAACTGGGTGAGAGGGCTTAGAAGCAGATCCTCCCTCTGTCTGGCTCTCAGATGAGACCACAGCTCCATCCCACACCTTGATTTTATCCTGTGAGAGACCTTTCAGCAGAAGCACGAAGCTAAACAGCACCAAGATTTCTGATCCACAGGAATTCTGAGATAACAAATGTTTACTGTTTTAAGCCACTAAGTTTTGGGGTAATTTGTTACACAACATTAGGTAAGTAATACACACATGTAATGTGGTTAAGTACAAAATCGCATTTCCTTCCTCTCCTGGGCACTGTTCTTCTAATATCAAGGGTGGCAGCACTTTACACTGTGGGCTCATGTGGAGCAGTCAGCTCAGCCCCCTCAACAGTTCTTGCTTGAGTTGTTATTCAGCTGCATCTCCTGTACTTTTGAAGCTGTTTCTTGGTTTTTGGTTTTGTTTGTTAGTTTGTTTTTAGCTTAAATGCTTGACCACATACTCTGTTATTCATAATCTTTTTTTATTTAGTCAGATCATCTTAGCTTATCAAGATATTTTGAAATCCTAGTAGTTATTAAATATATTAATTCCCACTTAATTTTGTGTTTTTGTTAAGTGTATGATCTTAAAATATATCATCCCTAAGTCTTTGTCAAAAATGAGTGTCCTCACAAATGCACAAATGATGAGCATATCTCTAGAAACCACTCTTCATGTGCCATTATTCTTTGGATTTCTTATATCCAACCACTTTAATATACACCTAACTAGATCAAAATATAGCTCATTTGTTTCCATTTTGTCTATAAGGGGTTTATAAAAAAAATGATAACTAGATGACTGAAGAAACCTTTTCACCATAAACACCTATAGAATGGTAAAATGACACTTTTTGTTGTTGTTTTTGTTACTCTTTTTAATGCAATGCTAAGCTCATGGGAGAAACAAAAGAAAGATCCCCATGTGGGGGAAGCAAAGAAAAAACACAAAGCTCAAAGTGATAGTCATATGACCTGACATTGCAGAGGTCCTGAGGAGATAAAAGGAGCCACTAAAGGCTGGAAGCTTTTGCATGAATCTGCAGTGAGGGACCTGAGATGAGGCCTAGGGCCTGAGGAAGATGGGAAATTGCAAAGTTGAAATCCATAAAAGGATATAACTCCTTGAAAAAAAAGAATAACTAAACCCTCCACTTATTGACTCAGAAGACCACAGGGATATTTATTCATCTCAAATCTGGATAAAAGGGAAAAGTCTCCCATGATAAATCAAAATCCCAACTAAAAACTTGATCTTAAAAGTTCTTATCATGAGAAAAAAAAAGTTATAATTATGTAAGGTGATAGATGTTAACTAAACTTACTGTGGTAGTCATTTCACAATATATACCTATACCAAATCATTATGTTGTACATCTTAAATTAATACAATGTTATATGTCAATGAAAAAAAAATGTTGGATTTGCAGTACAAATTTAAACCAATCTTGTGGTGCTGGAGGCTCCAAGTTAAAAATTTAACATACAAATTGTGCCAAGAATCTTGAATAATGATCAACAATCTGAAAGGGACCATTGCATCTTTTAAAAGATTTTTTTAAAATCAGAGAAGGTATATAACCAGAAGAAAGTAAAAAAGCCTATTTAAAAAACAGGTAAATTTTTAAAAGAATCAATTAGAACTTTTAGATACAAAAAAATCAGTGGGTTGATTAGACATAGAGTAAATTAATGAAATGGTAGATAGATTTGATGTCAGTGAAACATCTTTAAAGTACTGAAAAAACAAAACTACTAGCATAGAATTCTATACCCTACGAAAATGCCTTTCAAAAATAGAGGTGAAATAAAATTTTTTCCAGACATGCAAAAACTGAAAGAATTTGTCATCCATAGACCTGCACTAAAAGAAATGTTAAAGGAAAATTTTCAGGAAGGAAGAACGGAAGTGATTGATATCAAAGGAAAATATGGATCTGCACAAAAGAATGAAGAAAGTGCAACAAACATAATGAGAATTTAATTACAAGAGCTGCACTTGGCCCTCAGTATCCATGGGGGTATTGGTTCCAGGACCCACCCAATGATACCGAAATCCACAGATTCTCAAGTCCATATATAAAATGCCACAGAACAATGAATACAGTTCACAGATCAGAATACTGGTTTTGATCAGCGGTTTGTTGAATCCACATATGTAAAACTCATAGATACAGAGGAACAACTGTATTTATTGGGAAAAGTCTGCATATAAGTGGACTTACTCAGTTCAAACATGTTTTGTTCAAGGGTCAGCTTTATAAGATTTTTTTCTTATTATTTAAATCTCTTTAAAAGAATTCAAGTTATGTAACATATGTTCTGTGATCAAAATATAATTAATTAAAGTAGGAATCAATAATAGATCTCTGGAAAATCCCCAAATACTAGGAAGCTAAATAACCCACACCTGAACAATCCATGGGTCATAGAAAAATATCAACAGAGAAATCAGATAATATTATGAACTCAGTGAACATGAAAACAATATATCACAATTCATGGGATACTGTTAAAGCAGTACATAAGGGAAATTTACACCACTAAACACCCATGTTAGAAGAGAAGAAGGTCTCAAAGCAGTGACCTCAGCTTCTACATGAAGACAGAAAGAATAAAAAGGAAACCTAAGCTTAATCAAAAGAGAAGAGAGATCAGAGCAGAAGTTCATGAAATCAAAAACAAAACAGAGAAAAATCAATGGCACCAAAAGTTGTGGGGGTTTTTTGAGAAGATCAATAAAAGTGATAAATCTCTAGCCAGCCAGAGAGAGAGAGAGAGAAAGAGAGGGGTGGGGTGGAGAGCAAATTACCAATATCAGAAATGAGGAAGTGATATTATTATAGATCTAGGGATATTTGAAGGAAAATAAGGAATATTATGAACAACTTTATGCTAATAAATTTGACAACTTAAATGAAATGAACAAATCTTTGAAATAATACAAACTGCAAAAGGTCACTGAAGAAGAAACAGATAACTCTAATAGCCCTATACCTATTAAAGAAATTCACTTTATGATTAAAACCTTCTCACAATGAAAACTCCAGGACCAGGTGGCTTCACTGTGAATGAATTTTGCCAAATATTCAAGGAAGAAAGAATACAAACGCAATACAAACTGAGAAATTGAAGAAATAAGAGATTTCTCAACTCATTTTATGAAGTCAGCATAATCTGATACTAAAACTAGACAAAGACAGTATAAAGAAAGAAATCTACAGGCCAACATCCCCCATGAAAATAGATGCAAGAAATGAAACCAAAATTTTAGCAAATCAAATTTGGCAATATATAGAAAGGATAGTATACGTCACGACCAACTGAAGTTTATCCCAATTTTATACTCAAAAGAAATGAAAGTAGGGACTCAAACAGATATTTTTATACCCATGTTCATAGCAACATTATTCACAATATCCAAAATGTGGAAGAAAATGTGTTATATACATATAATGGAATATTATTCAACCTTAAAAAAAAAGGAAATTCTCTCATATACTACAACATGGATGAACCTTGAAGACAGTATGCTAAGTAAAATAAGCCAGTCATAAAAAGACAAGTACTGTATGATATCACTTTATATGAGGTACCTAAAGTAGTCAAACTCGTAAAGGCGGGAAGTAAAATGGTAGTTTTCAGGGGCTGGTGGGAGGGGGAAATGGGGAGTTAGTGCTTAATGGGTATAAAGTTTTATTTGAGAATATGAAAAAGTTCTGGAGATTCGATGGTGGTGATGGTTATACAATAATGTAAGTGTATTTAATGCCATGGCATTGTATACTTAAAAATGGTTAAAATGGTAAATTTTATATTTTGTTTATTTTACCATAATAATAAAGAGATTATATATGTAAATTGCTTAGTACAGTACTGAAACATAGTTCAGTGGTTCAGTAAATATTAATTCCTCTTAGATGATGTATTACAGAATTGTATACTTGAAACCTATGTAATTTTACTAACCATTGTCACTCCAATAAATTTAAATGAAAAAAATATTAATTCCTCTGAAAAAACATGTTGACAAAGATATAGAGAAACATCCTTATACACTGCTGTTGGGAATGTAAAATGTTACAGCCGCTTTGGCAAACTATTTGTCAGTTCCTGAAAGAGTTAAACATAGAGTTACCTGTGACACAGTATTTATACTTCTATTGGGTTGTTGGAAAAGTCTTGACCCATTTTTGCAATGAAAAACATAGAAAAAATACGTCATGACTTTTCCAACAACCCAATGGTTATATACGCAAGAGAATTGAAAGCCTGTATTCACACAAAAACTTCTACACAAATATACATAGCAACATTTTCATAATAGTCAAAATGTGAAAACATCCTAAATGTTTATCAGTGTATGAATGATAAATGGATATATGTGGTATATAGATACAATGAATTATAATTTGGCTATGAAAAAAGGAGTGAAGTATTGATACATACTATAATTGATGAACCTTGAAAACATGCTAATACAAAGAAACTAGACACAAAAGACCACATGTTGTATGATTACATTAATGTGAAGTGTCAAGACTAGAGGAATCCATAGAAACAGAAAGTAAATTAGCAGTTGCCCAGGGAAGGGGGAATTGGGAATACGGGTTTATTTTGGGGGTGAGGGAAATGTTCTGGAAATAGAACATTTTCCATGATGATTGCACAGCATTGTGAATATACTAAAAACCACTGAGTTACATTATTGAATGGTTTAAGTGGTGAATTTTATATTATGTGAATTATATCTCAGTAAACATTTAAAAAAAAATCAATCAGTGGTACTAAAACCAAAGACATGACAAGAAAACTACAGACCAGTATCTCTCATGAACTTAGATGTAAAATCTTCAAAAAAAGTACTAGTCAATTCAACAATGTATAAAAAGAATTATATACCATGATCAAGTGGGATTTATTCCAGATATGCAAAGCTGGTTCAACATTTGAAAATGAGTATAATCTATTACATCAAAAAGAAAAACCATATGATTGTATCAATCGATGCAGAAAAAGCATTGGATAAAATCTGACACCCATTCATGATAAAAACTCTCAGCAAACTACGACTAGAGGTGAACTTCCTCAACTTAATAAACATTTACAAAAAAACTATAGCTAAAGTCATACTTAATTGCGAGAAACTAGATGCTTTCCCCCAAGATCAGGATCAAGGCAAGCATATCCTCTTTCACCATTTCTAATCAAGAGTATAGCCAGGCTTCCAGCCCAGGTTTCTGAAGCTTAGTGACAGGTATGGCTCTTTAACAGGTTGGTTTTTTGTTTGTTTGTTTGTTTTTAATCTGCCACTTTAGAGGATGTGTTTGAATTTTGGGATTTGTTATTTGTTTTTTTCAATAGTCATAGGCAGCCTGATACAGAGAAAGAGAACCAATTTTGTCAGAGACAATAGGGATTTAATTCTAGCTTCATCACTTTTTGACTGTGTAGCTTTGAACAAGTCAGTTAACATTTTTAAGCCTTTGTGCCCTCCTCTGGCACATGATCCTCCTCTGGCACAGCTCGAAGGGCTACCCTCCCCCTTATCTTCTGGGCTACTGTCATCCCCGTGGACTTAGAAAGTGATATATAGAAGACCAAAGGCCCCTTCGTGAGAAAAGGGGGCAAAGTTCCGGGGCCTACTTTCTCCCTAAAATAGACTTGAGTAGACTTGGACCCATTAGAGAATTTGTTTTTATCCCCACGTGGTGAAATGTGAATTGGACAACTGATGACACAGACATAACAAGATCTTCATGAGTTTCTCCAAGAAGTCACATCTTTTAGTTAAAGATGTTTTGATCTTGGTGGTGGCTGATACTCTGAAAGGCAAATATTTACTGTAGAGAAGTCATAGTATTATTGCTTCTATACCCTTTCTGTATCCCTTTAGATTCTCCATGCTTCAAATACCAGATTTTAAAACACCAGCCATTTGTTGAAATGACTGTCAGGTAGGTATTCACTCTGGTTCTAACTGTGTTTTTTGGTAGCCAATCTCAAAGGGCCATCTTGCCAAGACCATGTTGTATCTAGAAAAGGAGGAAACCACCCACTTTTGCAAGGTCATTACAGTAACTGAGATAATATGGTTAAGTACTTGGCACTCAAAAATGGGCAGGTAATATTGTTATTGCCGATAGAGCTGCATTGATCCATCCTTACTATCTAACTGTTGTCATCATCAGAATGAGACACTGCTGACTTCTGTGTCACTGCATCACGCTGGTGATCAGTCCACTCTCACCCACCAGACTGGACCAGTGAGGTCCAGGTTCTAGTACGTCAGTCTTTGTTTATTACAGTCAACTCTGTTCATTGGCCACAGACCACCTCTGCCTCACCCTCTGGAATTCCATAATAAGAAGAAAGCAAATATTTTACTGATTTTATTTGGTAATTGAGAAGCCAAGTGACTTGACCAAACCACTCAACTTGATTGTGCCTCAGTTGGCCCATATGTAAAGTAAGGAGATGGGCTAGATGACATGAATAGTTTCTTCTAATTCTGAAATTGTGTAATGCAATAATTCTATGATGGCTTTGCCCTTGTGTATGAGCAACCCTGGGAAATTTGCTCTCATTACCGCATATATGTGTACTTTGACATAAAGGATATTTCAGTCTCTTTTATTTAGCATTTGGGACTAATTCTGTCCTCCTTTCCAAGCATTTGATATCTTACAGAAAATTAATAGAACTTTGTTGTAGGCTTATAAGCCAGACTTCACCAAAAGGAGACCAGTAATCATCTTTACTTCTTTTTACTTATATAAACTGACCCCAGTGACGTTATAAGAACATTGTTCCTAATGTGTTTTGTAGTCACACTGAATCTGGCATTCTATAGTGCAACAGCTCTAACATGACCAAGAGTCGTGGCGCAGACCCTTTTGATAATGGAAGCCCTCTATGGTAGTAATTTTGGGGTAGGTGTAGACAGGAAAGAAAGAGAGCAGATTTGTCCCTTTATAGTGGCACACCCCAGCCTCTGATGAGAAACCCTGTTTTAGCCTGTGTTTTCTTGTATTGGGGCGGGGAGAAGAGAACCACGCATCTCTGTGGACCATGCTTTACCAGCCTCCTTTAGGATACTTTATGGGTTGTTTTCTTTGTCTCTTGGTTTTCAGCGCATCAGAGCAGAGTGACGATGATCCTGTTTGTCCTGGAGCTGGAGTGGGTGCTGAGCACGGGACAGGACAAGCAATTTGCCTGGCACTGCTCTGAGAGTGGGCAACGCCTAGGAGGTTATCGCACCAGTGCTGTGGCCTCAGGCCTGCAGTATCCTTTGCTGGACAAAATTCCTTGGTGGGCACTTAGCTGTTGACTTCTTTCTTTCATGAAAATTTGGGTATGTGCACCTTAAAAGTTTTTTGTTTTATTTGCTGACTTGCTCTGCTGATTAAGATGTTTGTAGACTTTCCTAATGTACAAATCCTCATGTAGGAGGAGTAAAGTGAGGTTTTTTCACCTAAAATAACAGATCCTGCTGAGCAGGTTGTGGTCTATGACCCAAAATCTGATATCTAGATAGGACACAGCCCAGACTGTGAGCCTCAGCAGTCTGAAGGGATTGTGGAACATGGATAGAAAACCACCACTGAAATACAGTCTTTTCTTTTTGTACAGAAGTAATTTACACATAAATATTCAGGTTATGAAGACTCCCACTGGTGCCTGGCAGAAACACCATAGGATTCCAATTTATTTTAAAAATATTTGAGAGGCTACCATACTAGGACTAGAGTAGGTTAATTGGTATCTACACAGTAATGCTACAGGCTTTGTTCCAGGTACAAGACTTTTCCAGGATATGTAGATGATATTAATTCTTATCTCCCAAGTCTCCAGGACTCACGTTCAGGGTAAACACCTGCTATGCAGAGTAATCCCTACTGGGCTCCAGCAAGCATAGGCTTGACAAGTATGGAGTCCCTGTGGATGGTGCTACCATCGTAAGGAGTTTCTTCATTTAAAAAGCACAGAACTCTCTTCTCCTCCTGGCAAATGAAGAAATAGGTAGAAACAGATCACTTGTCAGCCAAAGAAAGAAGAAGTAGTAAGACTTGCTTTAAACTTTTCATCTCATTTATAAAACACCAATGCAGTGATTCTCAACAGTCTGAAAAAGTACTTTGCTTTTTCTTGCAGACATGTGGCAGTAGCTGTATTTGTGTGTGTGTGTTGGCTAATGTCACTTATTTTCCTCATTGGAAGGGCAAGATGAAGAAACTAAGAATGCTTCCTAGAAGGTTGTAAAAGTGACAAATTACCAGGAAGACCAGAAGTGAGGGCGATAAGGAATGGACTGAGAGCAGGACCAACTTATCTTTGAGAGGGTGGTACCACCTGTTCAAAGAAACTCCAGAGCTTACTTTCTAAAAGCCAGTTCAGACAAGCCAAGTGCTTGAATTGAAATACATGAACTCTCTTGACAATACATTATTTCTTATGGTGTTAGAGCTTGAAGGGCCCTTAGAGATCATCCAATCCAACTCCTCATTTTACAGATGAGTCAGCTGAAGCACAGAAAGGGCCCACGGGCCTTATGTGTGGCCACCCATCCGGTATGCAGGAAAATCACCTCCAGAACCCACGTCTTCTGCTTGAACTGCTGGTTTTTCCCCATCATTCTACATTACCCCTTTGAGAACAGATAGAACCAGTGGCACCAATAAATATAACGTGTTCTTAATATGCCAGCGCTATATCATTCGCCCAGCCTAGTAATATCTTCTGTATCACTTAACCAAGCCAAGGAGTATAGGAAAAATACACATCTTGCCCTTAAAATGTTTACTTTTTAAACTATCTGAAAATGAAAACTAAAACATAAATATACAGAATTAAACTTGTCTTGACTGTGATAGTCTTTGCATCTCTTCAGGCATCTCCAAAAGTCATCCTCATTTTCTGACTGTTTTCTTTGGCCATACCACGTGGTTTACCAAGCATAAAAAAATCATGTAATTGGTTATCAGAAGCCTTTGTGTATGTGCGAAAACCTGTGGCTTCATTTCCCAGTGTCCATGACCATCCATCCAGTCTAGCTTTGCTATTAAGGTGTAGGGGAGCTGTAATACTACAGACAGGCCCTTCCAGAAGATTCCCCCATCTCCACCAGCTCTGCCTGTCTAGCTCCAATTTTGGAGCCACAGTGCCAGCTTTAGCTCCTGGTAGCATATTGTTCATGGTAATTTTCCAGCGCTGCACACGGATGACAGAACAGTGCTGCTTTTGCCAGTCTCAGCCCAGAATCATGTGACTTTCCCAAGGTTGGAGGTTTTTCTTTGGAAGCTGCCTGGTGCAACAGGCAACCCCTACAGTGTTGGAGTTCACATTAAAATCCAGTTTGTAAACACATTTTCTCATGGGAACCCTCCACCCTCACCTCTCTCTTTTTCTCTTCTATCTGCCACCTTCAACATTTTTTTGTGGTTGTTTTGTTTTTAGTAGTAAGGGAAGGAAAAAGCAGATCTGCAACAACATAAAATGTTCAGAACAATATCATTACCCCTATTTCTCTTCATTATGGACACTTGTGGTGTAGATAAGCGACTTCTCTTACGATGAGCTAATTCTCGCCCATCTCCACCTCTAACAGTCATTCATCCAAGCCAACAAGTGACAGAATAAATCACAGTGAATTCAGCGTTTTTTCTCTTCTTTCAGGCCTCTGAGTGGAGAGTAATTATGCAATGAAAATAACCAAAATTGAAGTCGAGAAATAAAGGAAGACAGACTGACCAGTTTACAAATCGAATTACCAATTCCTGAATAATCTCAAAATTTTTGGTTGCTTTGCCTAAATAGCTGAAGCTTCAAATATTAAGCGACCTATAATACCACCACCATCAATAATAATAATGCAGAGAAGGAGAGGAAAAAGAAGAACTTGCTTTGCAGTCCCTGGGAGTTTACATAGTGCTTCTACATAATGTTACTTTGTTTGCCATCAAAACAGTAAGGTGAAGTAAAAACAAAGACCTAATTCTCAATTTTCACAGTGTATAAACCAATGCTCAGAGAAGATCAGATAGCTTCAGTGACTTTCTCAAGGTCACATGACTGTTCCCTGGCAGAACCAGTATTAGCATTTGGGTATTATAATCTTTTAGCTAGCCCTCTCCTCTGCACAGCTAGATACAGCAGAGCCAGAGGTATTTTTTAGAGGCCCCGTGGCAGGTTGGTGTTAGGAAATACTGTTTCCTTCCCCACTTCACTTCCTAATCTGTAAATTTGTGAATACGTTATCTAGCCTCACCTTTCAGTCTTGTCATTTGACCATATTTTGATCACATTTTTCATACTTCCACAGGAATAATTCAGGTACTCTTCATTTTCAGATTCTATTCATGTTGGAGATATTTTCAATATGTCTCCCTGTGTAGTAAAATGCCTTTCCACCAAGTAGTCTCTTAGATTCATTCCTGTTCAGGGCAAGAGTACTGAAAAGCTATTAAGATTATCTTGATTTTAATATTTCCTCATTTCATACTTATTGCCAATCACTCTGGCTTTGAGGTTGTACTATGATTTTATTTCAGCCCTCTTCCAAATAGCTTTTGTTCAGTTCATATATGTGTTTTTTATAGAATTCTACTATTTACCTATAATTGTAAGAACTTTGGAGTATCACAGATTGAGCCTGTTTTTTCATCTGTGTTCTTATAATGAATCGAGATAAATTTAAGCTGATCTTATTCCATATAAATCTTAATATTGTTTTACATATATCTACTTGTTAGTCGAGTATAACTTTTCTCCCTTTTCTTGAGACTGAAAGAATTTGATATGCCTTGTTTTCCTTCACTTTTCTTTAAAATGTCTTGAAAATTTTCAAAACATGTACCAAATTGGAAAAAATAGTATAATGGACATGCATACTCATCACTCAGATCCACTGTTGATTCTCTATCCCCTTTTGCTTTCTATCTTTTTTTGCTGGAGTATTTTAAAGCAAATTCCAGACCTTATGTCATTCCATCCTTACATTGTGCAACTCTAAAAAATAGGGACTTTTTTTTTCAATTATCGCAATGCTATTATTACTCCTAAAAATTTGTATCACTCGTTGATATTGTAGAATAATCAGTCAATTTTCAAATTTCACATACTGTTTCTAAAATGGCTTTTTGCAGTGGGTTAGTTTGAAATTGGGTCCAGACAAGGTCCACAGTTCAATGAAGATGTCATATCTCCTCAATCTCTCAATCTAAAGCAGTGACCCCACCCTTTATTTGATGCCACTGTGGAGATACCCAGTCAGTTCTCCTGTAGACAGTCCCACATACTAAATTGATTTCTGCTTTCTCATATTGTCATTTAACCTGTTCCTCTACCTACCCGGTATCCCAAATATTTCTGTAAACTGAAAGTTGCCTCTAAAATCTTGATTCAGTTCAGATTCAACTTTGGGTAAGAACACTTGGAGATTGTGCTGTTATGCACCATATTGCTTCACAGCAGGAAGCACGTGGTGTGGGATTGTCGCCCTTCCAGTGAGGCCAAGATTGATCAGTGGTGCAGGTGGTGACAGCCATTCCCTGCCCTGCAATCCTTCCCATTAGCCTTTCATGTAATGGTTTCATCCATTGCTGATTTTTGTCTGAACTAGTTCTTTTGTTAGTGTTACAAAATGGTGATTTTATAATCCTATTATTTTTTTTGCACATGTATTAGTTGGAATTCTGTTATCAAGTAGAACATTCCCTCATTTAACTTAGGCTATTTGATTATCCTGAAATACAATTAGTACAGGAAAAGCAACATGGATTCTTAATTATTTCTCCTCGATTGCTCATTTTCTGATAGAGATTTGGTGCCCTGGTTAACTCTAATAGGGATCGTTTATTTTCTTCTTGAGCATTATTATGAACTCTTAGGATTTGTTTGTTTTTTAATAATGCATTAAGTATATTTCAGTAAATTGCCGTTTTTTTGTTAGTTTGTTTGTTTTAATGCTTATTTTGTCCCATTTTGGCCAGTTTAAGAGCCCAATCATATTGGCTCCTGTGTCTTTTTGGTACAAACCCGTAGCCTCTGATAGCATCCTTACTTTTTGGCACAACTGTCTTAAGCTCATCTTGTACCTTCCTGTCACAGTCCTACGATGAGCCACTTTTAGTGAGGAATAGTTTCAGAGATAGCTAGGAAATATATGTATGTGTATTTTTAAAAAGAAAAAATGTCAGTTCATATAATATTTCTGATTCAAACTTAATATTATAAGGTTTTTACTTCATTTTTGTACTTGATTCTTTTATCTTGGGCTGAATAAACCTTGGTTCTTAAAACATTAACATAATTTCTTATTTGCTTTATCCTGTGGTATATTTAAGTTGACCCAAAATAATGATAGTAATATTATAATAAGACTTCTGAATGAGATTTTAGATTTCTTCACAATTTTCTTGTCCTTAGAATATATTCTACAAAGGACATACAGTCAAAATGCTATGTTCTGAAGTCACTTGAAATAATTCTATTAAAATACTACATGGTTATATTACCAATTTGATAGTTAAATTCATTCATTTTACTTTATTCTCAACTTGGGGGATTTTTTTTCTTCTAATTTTATAAATATTTTTAATGTGTGAAATAATTGGAAGATTCTAAAATTGAAACTATATAACAAGAGAGAAATCTCATTTCCATCCCTGTCCCCTCAGCCTGTTTCTCCCTTCTCCATAGACAGCCATTTTTGTTAGATCTTGCTTTATTTTTCCAATTCTTCCATTTCTAAATATGATGCACACACACTTATATTTGTATTTCCTCCTTCCTTACACAAAGGTAGTATAGCATGTAAACTCTTATATACCTTGACTTTTTTTCTCCACTTAATAATATATCCTCAAAGTTATTCCATATCAGTTTGTTTATGGTATGAAGGTCTTTTGTTTCTCCCCCGCTGCATAGCATTCTATTACATGGACGTATCATAGTTAATTCAGTAAATCCCCTTTTGATGAACTTTGGGCTTTTCAAATTTTAGCTATTACAGTAATATGGAGTGAATAGCCTCAGGCGTGTGTCCTTTCGTTTTTGTTGTTGTTGTTGTTGTTGTTGTCTTCCCAATGTATCTCTGGGACAGTTCTCTAGAGGTAGCATTGCACGACATTATCAACCAGGGAAGCTCACTAGAGACTCAGTGCCATGCATTTTTACTACAGACTGGTCACGTAGGCAGCCTCTGCCTGGCATGTACCAAACTTCCAGACTTCCAGATGAAAAGCAGGTATTGGCATGAGCCATATTGTTTGTACAGTTAGAGCACAATGAACCACTTTTGTCCGTTAATGGTGGGAACCCTCCTAAAATTCACGTTCCTAGATGCCGTGTCAGCCTTGTAGACAGCACTTCAAAGGATAGCCATCAGCGCTGCTATATTAATTCTTTTTTGCACAGCACCATTTTTATGTCTTAAACTATCCATCTATATATTTTGCCCATTTTTCTATGAGGTTTATGGTCTTTTTCTTCTTGATTGCTCTTTTTATGCATTAGGGATTTGGGCCTTTTGTGACAGAAGTTGCAACTATTTTTTCCAACTTGTGTTTTAACTTTGCTTATGGTATTTGTTTGTTGTTTTTGTTTCTGAACAGTAATAGCTCTTCCCGCTTCAAGGTGATAAAGGAATTCTCCCACCTAGAACTTATATTTTTAATTTTTTGCATTTAGAGCTCTAGTTCATTTGGGATTTATCCTGGTATATAATGTAGAATGTAGATCCTATTTTATTTTTCCAAATGACTATTCAGTTTGTGCCAGTATCCTTTTTTTAATCCATCTTTTCCTTATTCATTTGAAGAGCCAGCTTTATTAGACATGTGGCGAATTTCAGTATGCTTTTGGATCTGTTTCTAGACTCTCTATTCCATTCCATTGGTCTGTTTGTCCATTTATGCACCAATACCACACTTTTTAATTAAAGAGATTTTATAACATGTTTTAATACCTGGTAGGGCTAGCCTTCCCATATCACATACCATATTACTATTATTTCCGGAGTATTTCTGGCTCTTCTTGCCTTTTTATTTTTCTCTATGAGCTTTAGAATTAACATATCTAGCCCTAGGAAAAAACATGTTGATTTTTTTATAGGGATTATATTAAATTTATAAATTCACATGTTAAGAATTGACATCTTTATCGTGTGGAGTCTTACTATCCAATAATATTGTGTCTTTCATTTTGTTATATCCACTTTGTATCTTTCAGCATTATGTTCAAGTTTTCCTCATATGCGATTTGCACGTTTTTTACATTTATTTATTTTTGTAAATCCCTCCACTCTATTTTGAAAAAACAATCCTTAATGCTTACATGATAGATTTGATGTTGAAACCCGGCATGTGTTTATTGGTGACCATTCGGGCCAAGTAACCATCCTCAAACTGGAGCAAGAAAACTGCACCCTGGTCACAACATTCAGAGGACACACAGGTGGGATTGAACGCAAAATCTCCATGTTCTGCTTGCTCGCTCAGTGAGCTAGCACCTGCTGCATGCTCTGGTGTTCAGGTGACATGTTGTGAAAGTGACAAGGTGTACTCTGGGCTTGTGCAAAGATACCCATGATACACTTAACTTGATTTCAGAATGGTTCAGTAAAATGTAAAAAATAATGTAAAAAATACTCTACATCAATCCAAACCAAAGAAGAACCAATCTTTGGTGATTTGTTGGTGATTCGGTACTTTGTCATGTTGCCCTGGAGAAAGCCAGTGTTGGCATAGGTTGAGGAGATATTGTTTGAGACTGGGGCAACTGCACAAACCCCAGAAGGACAAAGGACAGCTACCTCAGTCTGTCCTTGCCATCCTCGGAGCAAGGGATGGTGTGCAAGACAGACTCCCACTTCCAAGACAAATGAAATGAAAAATGTGTTCATCGGGGGTAGCCAGATTGCATAAAAAGGTACAAGTTCCTCTTTAACTTCCTTTTGGGCTCTTTTTAGTTTAAAACCCAAGGTCCCCTTTATAGCACTGGTGTGCTCAGCGTCGTTTAAACAAGGTAAGATAAAATATCCATCCACACTTAGCCTTTGAAAGACTTGAATAGATGATGATTAATTTTTTTACTAGTATTTTTAATATGTGATATTGACTCTGGAAAATGAGTCACTGCCTGTTTTCATGGTTCTTGATAGGCTTTTTTGTCTTCTGCAGATTACCAACCCATGCTTTAGTACAGAACAAGGTTAATATTGAGTTTAGACCTCGTACAAGTACAAAAGTAGGTGAATGAGGATGTAAAATAGAATAGTACATAGATCATAAGGGATTTCCCAAAGGGAAAAATAGGAATGCAGTTAAAGAGAAAATTGAATCCAGCAGAAAAGATTCTTAAAAGATCATCTGAATTACATCTGCCTTTGGGAGGAAGAACACACAAGAACATCCCCTGTGGCTAGGAGCCACATCTTCCTGTTTGGATTTCTCTTTTTAGCCACCTAACCCTGGCCAAGCCTGGTCTGGTTAGGGACCCAGAACTGCCCCACCTCAGGAATCTTAATCTTCGGTTTCACTGTTAACTTCAGCCTCCTAATCTTCCACTTCCCTAAAGCCTTACTCCACCTCCACTTGCTCTTGCACTTGTTGAGAAGTCTGGTCCTTGATTCCCAAGTTCCCCTGTGTCTCCACCCGCTCTTTCCTTCCTTCCCAGTCGTTTCATCCCCATGCTTCCCAGCATGCTCAGCCCAGGACCCCCTGTTCTTCCTTCTTGGTAAGCTTTGTCCATGATTCACACAGGATTCACGCTCTTTCCTTGTGCTGTTAGCCATAGGGGTCTGTACCCAGCTGCAAGTCACACTGTGAGTTGTAGCCCATCATTACCATTGCAAATTCATCATTTCAGTCGACTCAGGAATTGCCTCATAATCCCTCCAACATAATCCCTCTACAGTCTTTAGTATACTCCTATCCCCCTCAACAGCTTTCTCAGACCGTCATCATTCTCCCCAAGCCCACCCCTTCCCATCCCCTAGCATTCTCCTTTCAAGAAAAATAGATGTTATCAGATAGAAGCTTTTTAAAGAATATTTTTCTTGCCCACCCCGTATTCCCTCCCCAGTAAAGAAACTTCTCTACCCTCTCATCTCTTGCCATTCTGCATCGTGCAGGAGCCTGCTGTCCTCTGGCCCCGGGCTCAGTTCTCAGGGTCTCCACACCAAAAGTCATTGCCTTTTCTCCCTTTTGACTAACTCCTCAATTTATTAACATGCTAAAGTTTCTTGCCTTTCTGTTAAAACACACACACACACACACACACACACACACACACACACACCCTCAGTCCTATGTCCTGTTAGAGCAATTTCCATCTTATTCTCTTAATAGCAATGCTTTTTCCTTTTTTAAAAAATTGTGGTAAAACATATGTAATCCAAAATTTACCATTTTAATCATTTTTAATCCCACTTAAGTGGCATTAAGTACATTTACATTGTTTTTCAACTATCACCACTATCTACAGAACATTTTTCATCTTGCAAAATTGAATTTCTATACCCATTAAACACTAACTCCCCCCTCCCCCCAGGCCCTGGCAACCACCATCCTGCTTTCTGTCTCTGAATTTGACTACTCTAGGTACCTCCTATGAGTGAAGTTATACGTAGTATTTGTGGTTTTGTGACTAGCTTTTTTCACTTAGCATAATCTTCACGTTGTAGTAAACAACAACTCTCAAAAGAATATCGTTTTCCCAGCTGCTTCAAATTCTTCACCTCCTATTTGCTTTCCAGCCACCTGCAATTTGGCCTGTCTCATCACTCCACTTAAACTGCTTTCCTCAAGATGGCCACTGGTCTGGTCTGCTGGTTGCTAAATCCAGTGGACATGTTTTAAACCATGTCCTACTTAAACCTTTCGGTGGTGTTTCACACTGTGGCCATTCCTTCCCACTTGGAAATGCCCTTCTTTCGTTTCTGTGACAAGTGCTCTCCTAGTTTTCTTCTTCAGTTCTGCCTGGGACCCTCATCTCTTTACACTTTGTACTCTCCCTGTTGACCGCTACTACTCAGAGCCACTACTCCCAGTCACAGAAATAAAAGGCACAGTCGTTGTCCTCAGATTCCTCACAGCCCAGTGAGAGAAACAGAAGCAAAGCAGTAATTCTACTGCATGATGTCAAGGGCAGTGGAAGCAGGCACCAAGTGCCTCCAAGAACACAGAATGGGCGCCTGGCTTGGATGGGACTGAGAGTTAGGGACGGCCTCCTGGGGGGAGGTGTGGCTTGAGTTAAGATATTTGGGGAGGAGTAAGGGTTGAGTTCCTGAAAAAGTGAGAAGAGCAATCCAGGCAGAGAAAACTAGCATGGTCCAGGGCATGGAGATTTGCAAGAACGTGGCTTCCTTGGGAACCCTAGTAACTCTTTTAGGCTGGAACATTGAGTATGAGGTGAGAGTAGCCAGAAAGGAAGCAAGGCAGTTCAGATTACTGAGGACATTTTCCTGATATCAGTGAGAAACCAGTGAGAGTTTCTCAGTTTCTCAGTGAGAGTTTTAAGCAAAGATGTTAACCTGATCGGATTTTAAAAGATTGTTCTGGCAGTAAAGTAGGGAGTGTAATTGGAAAGCTATTCTCTTGAAATGTGGCAGCGGTAATGGGAAAGCAAGGAGTGGATGGACCCAAGGTAGAACTTAGGTGGTGATCTCAGCAGGCCTGGTGATAGACTGCCAGTTCCCAGATTTGGTTTAGGCAGAGGTGCCCTGACCTTTTATTGGGTTGTCGGAAAAGTCATGACATAGTTTTTCTATGTTTTTCATTGCAAAAATGCATCATGACTTTTCCGATAACCCAATAGCTTTTTTCGTAGTCAGGAGTTCACCATATGGTGATTGATAGGAATGCTCTGAGTTCTGTATTGCTGCCTCCAGGTCAAAAAAGGGGCAAGTAGCTACTTCTTACCACTGTATGGGGGCTAGATGGGGCCCAAGGGTTTCATGTGTTGCAAATTAGTTCTAATATAAAATGTTACCTTGGCATTGTGTTTTTTCTTTCTCAAAATAATTTAAAGCATTTTTATAGGATTTTATTATGAGCTATCTTTGAGGAAGACAGGACATGACCCAAGAAGGTCACTAACACGAAGGTAAATGTAGCAGGTCAGCTACTTAACTTGTTTTTATTCCTAGACAGCACTATCTACCCATTGCCAAGCTGGCTACAGCACAACTCATTCATTTAAACTAGAGCAAGGACATCTAAGAGAGTCCATGGTGATGGAAACATTGTTGAGCCCTTCCTATGTAATTGGCCTATTCTGGGCCTTGGGAGGTCCCAAGGGTGGCCAGACACAATTCTGGCAAAGGATTAGTTTAATCTCCTCAGTCCCCGAACCCCCAAACAAAGGCTTTAGGATGAACCCAGATCTATTACAAAGTGATCTTGGGGGTCTCATCAGTCCAGATCTAAACTCAAAGCAGACAAGCCTTTGGTAGGAGTACAGAGCCATAACCATTCACCCATCACTCACTGTTACAGTACAGAAGGTCATAACAAAAATGTGGGTTATGATGGAATCAGCCTAATAGTCATACCCAGAGGCTAAGTAGCATTTACTAATCCATGGGGACTTAGGAAACTAGTTTTATATTCTTATGCTCCCTCTGCTGGTTTTATTTCTGGAGCTAAATGCCAAGTATCATAGTTCTTTGCTATTTATGTAGAAATTCTGATGTATTCCTACCAAAAAGTCATACACTGATTTGAACAAAACGGGAAAAAAAATCAGATTTTTATCATTGGGAATTCAAATACTTTTACTTGTAACAATTTTTTGATTAGTATAAACATATTAGAAAATAGGAGGGCTTGAATGTAAATCTGTTAAGCATATTAATTAATGAAAAATTAAATACAGACTTTTTCATTAACTGTTAAGAGAATTATTGAAAATGGCAGTATAACTATAACAGAAATAACTAAAACAAGGAAAGACATAATTCAGTGCAAATATGAAAATTCAAATAATTAAATTGAAAACATAATTTTTGTTTACAATGGAGACTTTCAATCAATCCAGTTTATATAAAGCATAATAGTTGCATATTTTCATCAAGAGTCAGCCCAGTCATTAGTTCTCTATATGGTGAGTGCTGGATTACATAGGTGAAAAGCAAGTGCTTGCTTTATTCAGTTTCCAGTCATGGAATACAAGCATTAAACCAATAATCTCAGATAATCAAAATATGAGTGTAGCAAGTGCTGTGAAGCCCCGATGCTGTGCAAAGTCTGCATTGGGAGCAAATAACAAGAGGGTCTCTCCTTGTCCGGAGAGTTAAAGAGAGGTTTCGAGGGAAGTGGTGTGTAAACACACCCTGAGGAGAAAAAGGAGATACCCAGGTCCTGAGGACATCCCCAGAGGTGTGAAGCAGGTATGAAGCCTGGGGTGGGAAAGTGTGGGCAGCTGAATGAAGTCAAATGGCCCCGTGGAGAGCT